GAATAGCAGTGCATCTACTCCTGTGTCTTTAACAAATGCTTCAACATCCTTTGGATCTGTGAATACATGTTCAGCTGCTGCAACGTCATCTTCAACTCCTGAAAGAACTCCAAGTTCTCCTTCAACAGTAACTCCAAATTGATGTGCATATTCAACAACTTGTTTTGTTAATTTAACATTCTCTTCATATGGAAGTGCTGATCCATCAATCATAACATTAGAGAATCCATTATCTACACATTCTTTACAAATTTGGAAATTAGCTCCATGATCAAGATTAAGTGAAATTGGAATACCTTTATGTTCTGGATCAATTTCTTTTGAATATTCAACTGCTCCTTTAGCAAGATTTCTCAAAAGAGTAGCATTAGCATATTCACGTGCTCCTTTTGATACTTGAAGAATAACTGGTGATTTAGCTTCAGTACATGCTTGAATAATAGCTTGCATTTGTTCAAGGTTATTGAAGTTAAAACCTGGAACAGCAAATCCTCCTTTAATAGCATGTTCAAACATTTCCTTGTGATTACAAAGTCCAAGTTCTTTATAGTTAACAGTCTTAGCAGCCATTTGTAAAAATGAAATGAATGTTTTTACTTACTTTTCAGTTTTTATACTAATGATCGTGTGTGGACACGTAGAAGTGACTGTGAATTAGAAAATTTTGTTCTCTTTATTTTTTTTTGTTTTTCTTATAGAAATATTTTTTGAGAAAGTGAAGAATTTTGTTTTTAATTCTTAATATATTATTTTTATAGTTAATCTTCTTATTAAAATAATTCATTCCTTGGTTCTTATTCTTTTTCTAAATCCTCTCTTAATAGTTGAGAAAGGATTTTTTTTCTTATTTCTTCTGGCCTAATGTGACGTCCATTAGTAATGCCCATTATTTTTTTTTTGAGGTAGTTTTTATTTTATTGAGAGTATTCTTTTCTTTGTTTTTACAAAACTATGAAAATAAAAAAGGAATTTCTCTTTGTAATTTTAATTCCTTTCTTTAAGTAGTTTGTTTTAATGGAGTTAATTTTTCAATTACTTTTTTTAATAAAACTAGTTAAATTATTCAAAGGTAGTTGGATGTGTTTTACTATTAATTATCTGTGATTGCTTTTATTGTGTTTGAGGTTGTTGCTTGATTATGATGGTTTTTTTACTTTTCACTAAAATAACTACTACTTTTGTAATATTTAAACTGCAACTATATTACTTATTTAATGTAGTTGTAACAAAAACCAAAATATCGTAAGGTTAGTAAGGTAAATTTTTGGACCCTTCTTTATAGTATTTATTAATGAAGAGAAGAGTTATTCTTTTGTGATTCACAATAGAACACTAAAACAAATTTATTTATACTATTAAAATAATAAATATTTTAACAAGATTTAAAGTGTTATTATTTGGTTTGTGTGAAATAGACATACTCAAAGATTATCATTCAAAGAAGGTTGTAAAATTTATGGTTGAATAACAGAGAGTCTTAAGAAGTGATACTGAACACCATTTCAAAAACAACGTCTGTTTATTTTTACTTAAAAAATGAACAATAATAAAGAAAATAATTTGTTTGATGATAACTGAATAGAGTGAATTAGTAAAAAGAATTGTTTATGTTAAATAAATTAACAGTTAAAAACTTTTAAAATAATCATACTTAAATTGAATATCCTTTAAACCGTGGGGTCATTGGGAAGATACAAAGAAATCTGAAAAGTCATCTTCAAAGGTGTCTTTTTGTTTACTTTCAGTTGTTGTTTGTTCATCAGAGTTAAGTTGTTGAGGTGTGGGTTGATTAGTGTCAATAATTGGTTGGACTTTAGTCTCTTCTTGTTTTGTATTTTCTTTCTGACTTGTTTGTGCTGGGGCTGATGTAAAACCATCAAAAGAAAAGATGTCATCAGGACTTTGATTTGGTTTTTCTTGAGATGAGGAAAAATCTCCAAAATCAAACAATGAAGGCGTTGTTGTTTGATTTACTTTAGGAGGAATAGACTCAGGCTGAGGTAGTTTTTGTGAAATAGCATCAGTTGTTTCTTCTTGTACGTCTTTTAGTTGGTTGACAGGCAGTTCAAGAGATTTTTCAGAAGGTAAAGTTGATTCTGTGAAGTCACCAAAATCGTCAAAGTTTACTTCAGTAACAGAAGGTGGAACTGGTTGGCATTGAGGTGGCGTTAATTTTTCTTCTTTGATAGACGTTTGTTTGTTCATGTCTTCTTTTGGTTGACTTTCATCATTGGATTGAGAAGAACGTATTGGTATAGTCTCATGATTTTGTTCTTGAACATTTAAAGGTAGTTGTTGTGAAGTGAATGGTTTAATATCTTCAAGATCAAACAAAGCTAAATAATCTTTTTTTGGAGGTTTTTTCAACTCATCTTTTTTTATTTTATCTTGAGAAGTGATTGTTTCATCTTTCTTTATTGTTTCATCTTTCTTTATTGTTTCATCTTTCTTTATTGTTTCATCTTTCTTTATTGTTTCATCTTTCTTTATTGTTTCATTTTCTTTTGTTATTTTATCTTTAATTGTTATTTCTGTTTCTTCATCTTTTTGTGTTGTTTCATTTTCTTTTGTTTCTTCATCTTTTTGTGTTGTTTCATTTTCTTTTGTTTCTTCATCTTTAGTTGTTAATTCATTTTCTTTTATTTCTTTATCCTTTATTTCTGTTTCTTTGTTTGTTGTTACTTCATTTTCCTTAGTTTCTTGTAGGTTTTCAAGACCATCAATAATAGAACCTTTTAATGGTTCTACTGATTCTTTTTGAATTACAGTAGGTAGATCTCCTTGACTTTCTTGAATTAGTTCTTGAACTTTGTCATTATTTTTTATGTTATTCTCTTTTGGAACCTCATTGGATTTAGTATGAATAATAAATTCATTCTCTTTTTGTCTCAAATCTTGAATTTTTACATCATCAATATCCATTAGCACAAACCCACAATCTTTACACTCTTTTGTTTCTTCTGTTTCATCTTCAATAACAAATCCATTGTCTTGTTCTGGTTCTTCTTTTGTAATTGTTAGATTAGACTCTGCTTTTGGTTCTTCTTCATTAGAGTTAAACATAAGAACTTTTGATTTTTTTTCTTCTGTAGTTTCAGTTTCTGAACTAGAGACTGATTCTTCCTTACTTTCTTCTCCAATTAAATCAAACATAACAACAGTATTTTGTGGTTGTTTTGGTTGGTTAGTATTGGTACTAGGTAATACATCATCAGTTTTCTTAACTTCTTTATTAGAATTATCGTTCCATTCATTAAAGAAGTTTATCTTTTCTGTGGATGTCTCTGGGTTATTGGCTGGTTTTGCTTCAACAAATTCCTCAAAGTCAAAGTCGTCAGTAGGAGTTTGTGTATTAACAAACTGAGGGACTGTGACTTGATGAGAAGAGTTTGGAGAAATAGGTTTTGTTGGATATGGAAATATCCTGATTTGATTAGTAGAAGATGTTTTAGGAGGTAGTTGAGAGATAGCAGTTGTTGGTTGTTGCTGTTGTTGATTAACAGATGTGGCAATAGGTTCTAGGTCTTCTTGAACTGGTTTATTTTGAGAGAAGTCATCACTTAAGTAAAGGTCAAGATAGTTAATTTTTGGTTTTGTTGTTGGTTTTTCTATAAGACCGTTTTGAGTTGTTTTAGAAGGTGGTTGTTTATTTTCTTTTTCATCTTCACTTTCAAACCCAAAATCGTTAAACACAGAATCTTTATCACGTTGTGACTCTATAAGAGTAGTAGTTTGAACTGGAGGAACAACAGGGTTTTGACTGGACAATCTTTTTTGCCTATTTTCTGAGACTATAGCAAACATGTCATTTGTTGTATCTTTTTTTAATGGTTTTTGTTGTGGAACAGATTGTTGTGGTTGTTGAGTAAATTGTTGACCAACAAAATCACCAAAATTATCATCATCAAAGAAATTTGTTATTATTGATTGATTTGGTTGTGATGGTTGCAGAGGAACAGCGATTTGGTGTTGATTAAGATAAGGGCTAAAAGTGTTTTGTTGAAATTGAGGTTGTTGAACATATCCTCTACCAGAATATTGAATAGGTTGTTGATAAAAAGTAGATTGGTGATATTGCTGTTGACTTTGTTGAAGGTACATATTATATTGAGTATTATATAATGCACCAAGATTGTATTGTCGTTTTCCTTGTTGCATAAGAAGAAACAAACCAATAAATTATTTATAGATCTAATGAACTGAATTTAGTTCTTTCTAAAAATTTTCTTAAACGACATAAATAAAAAAGGAAATGATTAAAAGAATGAGTAATCCAATGATTTTTGGGTGTTATAATACAATGTCACATAGTTGTTTCAATCAGTTTTAATGCTTTTGTAACTAGGGCTGTTGGTGTATGTAAACAATTATCCATCCATCCATCTTTAAGAAGATTTTTGCAAGAAGGGCAATAGCAGTGTTGTTGTGCCCAATTAATGATACAATTATCGCAAAAAGAATGTCCACAAGGAAGAGAGACGTTTACTTTATTGTCATAACAAATGGGGCATATTTCATCTGTTTCAGTAGATTCTATTGTTTGATTAAGTATTGGTTGTAATGCAAGATAAATATGAACTAAACGAGTTCTATTAATTCTTAATGTTTTGAATACATGATTATTTTTTGGAGGTGGAGTATATCGTACTTCATTATCCCTTGAGTATTCAATTCTTCCTAGTGATGAATTATATGTAACAGTCCATGACGTTTTAAGACGTTTTTGTTCTAACTAAGATATTAATATCATTCTTTCTATTTATCAAATCTGCTTTTTACTAATCATTTAAATAAATCAAACCATCAAAAAATCTGGTGTTGGTGGTGCAGATGAATATTTAATTGCTGGGAATACTTCATCATAATAATATGTATTTCCTGATTCATCTATTCCTGCTTTCCAATGTTCTTTTAACATTGATGTATAAGAAATGGCAATATCATTATCTGCTAATGCATAAACAACATACCGAATCCCAAGTAATTTTGAAGGAAATTTCGAGAAAAATACTGTAATAGTTGAGCACATCCTATTAACGTCGTTGGAAATAATTGGTTTTGAAGGTTCAGAACCCATAAAGAAAAAGATAAAGAAATAAAAAAAAATAAGTTCTCTTTTTTCCTCTTTTATTACTAAAAAGAAATTTTAACAAAATAATAAAAAAAAGTGAATTAAAAATTACAAAGTTTTATTGATACCATTGAAGGAAAAATAGTCGTTTTACTGCAAAGTTTTCTTTATTTCCAGTAAACGCACTGATATCAATAGCGTTTTCATATTCAAACTTAAATTCAGAATTTAGTGATGAGTTGTGTTGGTTTAAAGGTGGACGTAACGTAAAACACTGATAAACATTATAAAATGAAGGATCTTTTTCTTTGTCAGAATAGAATGAAATTGACCAATCAACACCTGGGGAGTCTTGTTTAATTAACCACCTTGTTGGTCCTGCAAGTCTATTTCTATTTTCTAAGGAAAACACAAACATATCAGGATCTTTTACTGTAACAAAGGCTTTCTTTGGTTTTTTAGGGAAGGTGCTATGATGAAATGAGCCAAATACTGCTTCATCTTCAGTGATAATAACCCCCATAATATTTTTCTTTTCATATAATCGTTTTTGGACAGAATGACGAGTGAATTTATTTTTATTAGAATCATAAATGATTTGAATATGATTAAATCCTGTCCAATATTGAAGGGTCTGAAAATGTTTTGTCATTAAGGAAGTAAAGAATGGATCATTATATGTTAATTTGATATCGTCCATTAAATGAAATGATGTTGGCTGTCTAAATTCATTTGTATTTCTAGTATACGAAGATATTGTAACTCTTGTTGGTACTCCAGATGACAACTCATCTCTAGAAGCAAATGTTAAATTTCTTAGTCTTCTTTGTTTTAATGGTGAGACAGGTATTTGTGGAGTAACTGGATTAGCAAAAGGATCAACGGTTTTTCTTTCATTTAATTGGGTTAATTTATCACGACTTTGTTGAGTTGTTGTTTTAGAAAACTCTGAGTTTTCTTTTTTGTCTTTCTTAGCCTCATTGATACATGAAGTTTTTGAGTCAATACTTTTTCTTTTATATCCTGCTTTAGGGAAGTGTTCATCATTTTTAGGCTTATTATCTATTTTTTCTTTTAATCCAATATCCTCTTCAATCTGAATATTCTCCATATCCTTACTAGTCCGTTTTTCATCTACTTTAATTGTTAAATTCTCTATTTTTTCTAATAGCCCATATAAAATATTTCTCATCTTAACAACTTCATATTCAGAAGTTAAATTGTTGATTAATCGTTTAATATCACTCATTTTTTTAAGACTTTAAAAGTTTTTTCTTTTCTTTTTTTAAAAAAAGAAATCTAAAAAAAGTTTTATGAGAAATATTACTAAATTTAGCTTAAAGTAAAAAAGAACCCTTTATATTTATTTCAAACCAATCAATTACAAGAGCCCAGATTAGAAAGAACAAAGTGCCTTGTCTGTTTAATCAATTTTAGTATCTTGTTGTTTTGTTTCAGATTTTTGACAACAAGACCTAATAGAATCAATCACACTTTCAATAGTGTTATTAATGAATTGCAATAAAATAACAAAAGTAAATTGGATTTTACCAGGAAGGGCATAAACAAAAATCATTCCTGGTGTCCAAATAAATAAATAAACAGCTAATGCAACTGGATATTCTCTAAAGGCAAATCTTTTCCATCCCATAAATCTAGTCATTTTAACTATATTGAAGTTAAAACCTCTAAATAAATAGAACATCAAATTAGCAGGAATCAAATAAGCTAAACTGTAACAAGTTAAGTCAGTTGCCAAAAGCATTGTTGTACGAATAACTTTATCATTTATATTACCCATCATTTTATTATTTAATTCGATCCAAATAAATTCTACAAGACCAGCATATCCGAAGTATATAACTGTACCAAGTATTTGAATAACTAACTTTTTTAATGGAATTTGAAGGAATAAAATTTTTATAAGCAATGGAATAAATCCACTGAATATTATTGAAATTACAAAAGCATAAATAAGAGATATTCTTTTTTGTGTTTTAGAGATTTTATCAAAGAAATCAACTTCTGAAGAATCAACACCATCATAAATCCCAACAATTATTGCTCCTACCCCAATAACACAAATAAATTGAGGAATAGCAAAGAGTAATGTCTTAAATATAATTGGAATAGTTTCTTCCATTGGAAATTCAATTGTTTCATCTGCAAGAACTTCAACATCAACAAAAGGTTCAATATCATGTGAAGTGGCATGTGTATTTTCTTTTTCAACGTCTTCTTTTGATTGTAATTCTATTGGTTTATCTGATTCTGGAAGTGGAGAAGAATCTAATTCTTTTGTTGGAGTAATTGTTACTCCTTCTTGTTCTTGAAGAACTTCATTTTGTTGTTCATGTTGAATTTCTTCTTTTTTTTCTTCTTTTAAAAGAGAAGAAGAGGAATTTGTTGATTCTTCGTTTTGAGGGAGAGAAGATGATTCCGAGTAATTCATATTTACTAGTATAATTTTTTTAGATGAAGAATAAAACTACAGTAGGTCATTTTAAAGTATTAATCAATTTGTATGTCATTTTAACAGGGCATTTTTTTTATTAATTCATAAAAAACATATTTTTATTTTATTTTTTTTGTTTTTAAAAAATAAAAAACTTAAAAATCAAAAGAACTTAAAAATTAACAAAAATGAAAATTAATAAATATGCAATTTTTGTTGATAATAATAAAGAAAAGAAAGATGTTGCTGAGATGATTTTATATCTTACAAAAAATAGGGTCTCAAAAAATCTTATTCGGATTTATGACATTAGTGAAGAAAAAGGAATATTACAGTATATAAAACAAGAAAAATTAGAATGTCCTCTTTTATTTTTATGGGGAAATCTTTATGGAAATCTTCAATTTGTAAAAGAGCAAAACGAAAATGGGATCTTACGTTTAGCACTATTAAATAATCCAAATAAAAAGAATAAAAAAAAAGGAGAAAAAAAGAATACGAGTGAATTTAGTTTTAGTCCTCTTATTAAAGAAGAATATGATGAAACTCTTTCAAAAGACCAAGTCGAAAGTAAAACAAAGTTGGAAAAGACAACTGGTATTGATACCTCAATCCAATCAAATGATATAAAACTAACTGAGGAAAAACAAATATCATTAAACAAGAATAATAATGTTGTTATTTTAAAACCTAAAATTAATTCCACGAATAACGAACAACCTCAACAACAAGAAAATCAAGAAGATCAAATACTTCAATTACAAACATGTAAAGAAACAGATCAATCTAAAGAAAAAATAGAAGAAATGAAAGATCAAAGTTTACAAACAGATTGTAAAGAAAAATTAGTTAACGAAAAGGATATTAATAAAGAATCCTTTGAACAAAGTCTAATCAAAATAACTGAGTCATATATAAGTGACTCAACTGAAGAAATAAATCCAAAAGAGATAGTTATTATAGACGACTATGAAAATCAACAATCTGTCCTTCAAGAAGATGAAATGATTGACCTTAATGTACCTCAACTTGAAGCACTTAATTTTGGTGATCGATGGTTAAATGCTTGTGAATGGGTAATTAGAAATATTAGTCAATCATCTCCAGAAAGAAAAAAACGTATAGATGAAATTGTTTTAGAAAAGCAACCAGATGATATTGATTATTATGTTATAAGAACTAATTGGTATTGGAGACATCAAATAAGAATTATGAGATTTGGAAAAGAACATTTTTATAGATTAGATGAAACGTATCATGTTAAAGAATCATTCAGATATGAAGATGTTAAAGAAATTGTTCAAACAGATGAAGAACATCTTGTTATTAAATTCTTAAGAAATTCACAACCACAATACCTTCAGTCTAAACTTGTCCACCAAATGATCGTTACTTTAGTTAGTCATCTTACCCAAGATTATACAATTACCAGAATAAATTAAATATTTAATTTTTCTCTTCTTTTTTGTATGTCTTAATATGAATCTTATTTCTATTTATGTTTTGTTTGTTTATAAATTTTAATAACATTTTTCATTAACTCATTCTCAAATGCTTTTAACTAACTATAAAATGGAGTTTATGTAAAATAATACTACCCAATAAGTCGTGCTTCTTTTATTTATGTTTAGTTTTAGTCTTCTTGAAAGAAGAAATATCCAAGGAGTTTGAGTCCTTTCCTTATATTATTTTTAATCATTTGTTTTATTTTTAGATCAGTTCGCAGAAAGGAAAAACGACAATAACACATATTCTATTTAACACATTATTTTTTTGAATAATTTAAAAATGTTCATAAAAATATGGAAATAAATTATGTTAACAACAATTATGAATTTTATAGTAAAATATCTCAAGAAATTTTAGTTTAATAACAAAGAAAATAAAACAGTAATTCCTAATACTTCGAAAAATAAACTATTGTCTTTCTTCCTATCAAATTTTTCATTTAAACAAATTTAACTAATGTTTATTTTGAAGAAACACAGACAAAATTCAAATTTCTTTTATAACAAATAAAAATAATAAAATAAATAGCCGGAATAAATATTGTGTTTAACAAAAAATTCAAATAATAAAAATAATAAAAGAAGTATAATAAAAATGGTATTTAATATTTATTCGTTGAATTAAGATTAATATTCTTGTTATTAATTATTTTATTTGTGTATATTTTGTTTAGATTAAATGTTTTATAATATATTTCATAATTTTATTTTTATTCTTTTTGATTTCTTTTATATTATCATATTTATTTCTTTTATCATTTTAATGATTTCTTTATTTAATATCATTTTATAGAGATTATTAATTCATTTTATCATCTCTTATTTTCTTTATTCTTTATTTCTTTATTCTTTATTTATATTTATTTTCATCAAATATACTCGATTAATATTGTTATTTATTTCAATAATCATAACAAATAATATATTAATTTTATTCTTTTTATTTATTACATATATATTTGATCTTTTATTATAATTTCAAATATTTTTAGTATTATTTATTTATTCAATATCATCATGATTTCTTTATATTATAACATTATTTCATATTTGATTTCTTGTATTGATTATTTCATGGATATTTTCTTATTAATTAAAATGATAATACTAATATGACTATGTTTTTCAATTTATGAATTATTATGGCCAATACAAGATAATAGAATGCTTCTACTGTTGATATCTTGTATTTACAAAGTGGGCAATACTTTAATCTTATTTTTAATATTTTATCTTTTCTGTAACAAACTGAATATTATTCAATCTTATTTTTCAGTTAAATGAAGAAATTCATTTTTAATAATGTTATACTGCAATGCTTTAACTGTATTAGTTTTGTCTACAAATTTTGACTCAATCCATTTTTTAAAATATATATTTATTTGATTTGTATTTATGGAATTAATTAACAATAATTTGCTTAATATTCAAATTACAAACATTGATTTATAATTTTAACAATTATAATTATTATACTGTTTCTCTTTTTATCATTTATATTATTTTATTAATAATACGTTGAATAAATAAATGTTTCATTTTTATTTTAATTCTTTCATTTCTATTTCTATTTTATTATTTATTTTAATTTCTAATTAATTTTAAATGTCATTAATTAAAATAAATAATAATAATAAATAATCTAAATAATGACATTTATTTGTTTATTCTTGTTTTCTTTGTTTTGAGAAGTTATAATATTATAATTATGGTTAGTTTCTTCATCATTCTTTGTGTTATCAATTTTTTATTTGATATAATATATTGTTGATTTACATCATTATAACTACAATAATTATATAATTAATATATGATATTTTTCATTCATTTGTAATATCATTATTACTATTACTAATATGTTTATATCATTTTCTATTTATTTATTACGGATAATTTATGATCAAATCAAACACAATGTATCACAAATTGAATGATTTTTATTTGTCTTATCTTTATATTTCTTAATTGTAATATTTTATATTTAATAAATTATTTAAATAAATTATTATTATATTTTTATTTTTTTATTATATCGAAGAATATATTTCGGTCACGAAATTATCATTTCATTCGTATCATCATTATATTATTATATTGATTTGTGATGTTGTTCATTATTTCTTAATTGGTGTCTAAATGTAATGATTGTATTCATTGTTTGTTTAAAACTTGGTGTTTATGTTTGATAGATCATTGAAATGAATTATCATGTTGCAAATTAATTCTTGTTAATTGTTTAAAAGGTAAAAAATAGTAGAAAATATTATTAGATGCAAATATTTGTGCTTAAATATGAGAAGAATATATTTGTACATTATTAGTTCTATCTTTCTAATTCGATTTCTGTATTAAATGAATATATCTGTTGATGGAATTGAAATAAAATAAAATAAATATAAAATGATAAATGATAAATGAAAGAATAAAGAAAATAATAAGAAATAAATATAATGATTAATGATAAAATTAATGAGTTATTATCATGAA